ACCAATGTACAATTTTAAATGACAGTTTGAAACCGGTCATTTGACCGGCCTCGGTACGGTTAGTGTTAAGGTGAAGTAAACCCTCCCCTCAAATCAGTCGATTGGAGTACAACCCTTCTTTTTTAAGGGTATTGGACAGAACTGTCCGAAACTTTGACACATGGCTCGTAAGCACCTAGGAATTATCCCGACACTTTCAGAATTTGGATATTTTAAAAGAAACTTTTTTACCTTAGTCCAGACCAGAAACAAAATGGCTGCAATTTTTTTTACTGTAGCATCAAGAGCCGAATTAGAGCACATATTTCTTCAAATAGACGCTAACGTTGGCTGTTAAAATGGTATAAACATGGCGTGGCTCTTTTATGCACATCAGAAAAGTATATTAAATGAACCGTTCTTTACGAATCACACGACTGGACAGGAAAAGCTGCACTCATTTATAAAACACCGTTATAAAACGTCGTATCAAGAATTTGCGATAAAAGAGAGAAAAAAAAAAGAAATATTTCAGGCATGCATACCAATGTCGATAACAAAAGAAACGTAAGCTTGACGTGGTTTTTTTTCTCGGCAGGTTTAAGAATGCAGATTAATGCATCGGCACATTTGCTTTACGAATCACGTGACTCAGCGAAAAAGATCGAGACGACCGTTTTAACCGGATCGTTATCAAACGTCGGGTTAAAAGGGGGATCGAATGGTGTAGACATTGAATGTAATTACCGATACATATTTGTTTCTTTCAATAAAACAAGTGACGTCATTAAAATAGTCGCGAAAAGATCCAAATGCAACATTTCTGAACGTTGTTAGAAATTCATGATAAAGGGACGATTAACGATACAAAATTAAATTTATATTTTGTGCCATAAAGAGTTGGAGCATATCGTTGCAACGCTTTAAATCGAATAAGTGACGTCATTAAAATAGTCGCGAAAAGATCTAAATGCAACATTTCTGAACGTTGTTAGAAATTCATGATAAAGGGACGATTAACGATACAAAATTGAATTTATATTTTGTGCCATAAAGAGTTGGAGCATATCGTTGCAACGCTGATCGTGTTTACTCCCTTGACCGGCAAAAGCCGATTTGGGGATCGGGTTTCCTGGGGATACTCGTTAACGTTGGCTGTCGAAGAATAGGTGTAAGTTTTGGCATGGCCTTTTCCCGTTCACTTTGGGAACGCGTATTAAATTACCGGGAGGGTTTTTGCGAGTCACGTGACATGCAAAGGGTCACGTGACATGCATAGGGTCACGTGACATACAAAGAGCCACGTGCAAGGCGAAGGAATGCCGCAGGGCGTGTTGGAGGTTCAGGGATGGGCTCGGTTGCATCGATCGCTCGATAATGCTCCGTGGAAGTTCGGTTTATAGGTTAGGGTCGCCGCGGGTCGAGACAAAGGATTCGCCTCTTTGGAGAGAAAAAAAAAAAGAAAAAAAATATTCGAGACTCCGGCGTCCGACGCCGATAAATTTGAGCAGCTTATGGGAGACCGAAGAATGAAAAGCTACCCTCTTTTACGAGGAGACTTTAACGCCGGACCCTCCAACGAACCGGATACTACTTCTCTAATATTTACTAATAATTCCCTGAAATATGTAAAAAAAATCAGTATCAATCTCGCGGTCGAAAATTCAATCATTCCATTATTTAACCCTAAGGGTTACACCGTAGTTCAGGAATGTCAGGAATTTTGTAACTTTTACTGATTTTACAAGCATTTCTCCTTCTGGCATTGTTCTGAATAAACAGCGTATTTCATGATAATTCTTCAATTCTCTTTACATTCACCCTTCTGCATTTTCATATAATATGTAAAGATTTGTATAAGCCATTCATTTCCAACGATTCTAGTCGGAGTTACGACAAAAGTCGCGGGCAGTTTGACCGACCGGTGATCGGCATGACGTCAAAAGAAAACAAGGTGAGGGTTAAATGAACGTTAAAAATTATACAAATTTTTCAACCACTTGAGTATCATTACCCGATATCAATATTACGACAATGGGGTACATGTTAATCTTCTTTTTGTTAAAAATTGCGATTCTATTTCCCTGGGTAGCGGCATTACTTTAAGGCTTTTCATTAGCAGCCATTGAAACAAAATTTAAAATAAGTGCGCACCTTTCCGAAGTGCTGGGTGCTTCATAGATGTAGACGTCAGCGTGAGTGGCGTTGATGGAATCCTTCATGATGAGTGCCTCGAAGCCGTCACATTTTTATTCCGCCGCCGAAGCCGGTGGAACGTGCGCGAGCCCTCTCCCGACGGCGTCTGTCACGGGCTTAGATGTTTCCCCTGGAGCCGCGACGCCATTGGTCGATTCCGCTGGAGCCTCGGTCCCGTTGGACCGATTTTCGGGGGGCCACGTGACGCGCCGAAAGCTCGCCACTTCGCGACGCTTCGGCAATCTCCGACGATGCGCAGAACTACGCGGCCGACTCGCGCGTCACTTCGAACGTCACAAACCGGTCCGAGGGGGCATCGAGTGTCGGCAAGTAACGGCGTTACGCGCAGCGCGAAGTCGCTGCCTTACCGACTGCGTGCGCTCCTCATGGTACGACGGCTCGAACGCGACTGGACGCCCCACCATCCCGTGCGCACCCTTCCATTGTTTTCAGCCCACACTCCCGTAGCCGTGCCTCCCACCTCGCGTCTTTGGAAGCTCCTGGAGAATTTTTGAAGTCACCGTAAACCGCGCTTTTCACGTTAACAGATGTACCGCGGATGAGAGATTCCGAAACGTCCACTCGTTGGATTGTTTCGGTCACTTTTAGCCCTTTTGTTTTCACTCACTGACAATGACTACGTCTCTGTCGTACTCGAAATCCGGAGTTTATCTCAGATACAGACCCAGCAAATCTGAATTTTAAGGTGATGTGAAAGTGGTGCCAAAGAGGTATCGTTTATGAAACTTTTCTCCGAACTGGGTGTGCCGAATCGTCTCGAACTTGACAATGTGAATATGGAGGCTATAAGGAAGGTTCTGAAACTCATGAAATTTCATTTTTCATCCAAAATTGATTTAACATGGATTAGAATGAACATGGCGTGATCCGTGCACGTTTTCGATGTTTTACGCTTTTTGGACTGTAAGAATCGAAAATCAAGAGTTTCAGGACCTAGTGTCAATAATTTAGAATGTAGTAAAAATGGAATATTACAGTTAGAGATGGGAAAATATGGAAAATACTGTCACCAACGATTGCAAGAGAATGCTGACTCGTCTCATGGCTAACACGTGTTTTCAGAGCAAAAATTTAGTTGCAGCTAAACGTCACAGATGGCGACGTTGTTCCGTTAAAATATAAACTTTCATGAATTCATGGAATTTCGACAATTTTTGTATCGATCTCCTTATCATTACTTTACTGAAGTCACATACGGACCGCTTCAGTTCGTATAATTCTCAGCGTAGACTGTAAAAGACTTCAATATAAATATAAATGTCCGTAACATGACGCGCCAGCTTGTGTTACCACTTGAGTATTCAAAATGGCATCACTACCAAAAAGGGTATAGATAAATTTAAATTTATCGACCTTGATTAAATTTCACAGCGCCTTTCATGTCATCTTAAGCTGTGCCCTTGATGTTTTCGCAATCTACGCGAATGAGAGATTCTTTTGATGCGAAGATTTCAGAGTTGATAGGAGTATTTGGGTTAATAACTTAAAAAGTATGCACTGACCATAAGGGCTTGTCTTCTCGGTACAAGGATAAGGAACAAAGGATGCGACGTTTAATTCTTCGTGCTCTCTTTGTCAATGGACCTGGAAAATCGAAAAAGAGGTTTTTTAATCAATGGGAGTAGCGCGGATTGCTTCAAAATGGCGGCTCGTTAACAAAAGGCAGCCCCACGATCTCAAACACTGGCCGGGGGGCGAGTTACCCTCGCATGACACGAGGTTAGGGTTGCTAACGTCCACTAATCTGGGAATGAGCTCTCCATGAATTTTTCGTCATAAACACGGCGATCGTGACAACGCGACAGAAATCAATAATCAATTCTTATTTCGGCAGAAAAATGTATCGACTTGTACATATATATTGAGTAATAAAAAATTCTCTGAATAGCTCCATTCTCTTTTTAAAGGTTTTCTGAAAAGTCATTTCAGGTAATAAACTTCAATGCGAGAAGTGGAAATAAAACCAGGGACACGGAACGCGACGGCCATTTGCGCGAAAGTATTCCTAACCTCGTTCGGTTTTTCTTCAGCTGTTTTGAGAATTATTCCGTCGGAATTTTTTAAGGGTTTCCAAGTTCTTTCGAACCAATTGTACCACTATGATGTTTAAAAGGAGTATTACGGGAGTTTTAATCCTATCTATGGAAGCTTTGAACTTAAGAAGTAAAACAGGGTCTAACAAGGACTAATGTGTAGAAAAATATAAGTATGATAAAAGTATTTCTGGGAGTGTCTCAAATATTACCCCACCTTAAATAAAAAAAGTGAATGCGTGTAATTGAGCTGAAATTATTTCAAGGCAAGTTAGGAAAATACACTGAAAATCAATTGAAAATGAACTGAAAATAAACTGAAAATAAATTAAATTACGGAAAAGGGTACGGCCGCGCCTCTTTTCTTTGTAAAACTGGGCAATTGAAATCTATTATGCATACGAGATACACTTTATTAGTTATTAAAATAATAAAGGTAGTAAAATTATTTTCGAGTGTATTATTGAGCGTTTCTCTTCCATACACCTCGAAGAGCAGGCACTATTCAGGGTTGCACATCGAAAAATGCTACGAGGGTGGCTCGACCCTATTTATGGAAGGGCATCGGCGCAGCCTTGAAAAGGCAGAGGGTCTATAAAGTGCATCCACGTATGTACATGTCAGCGCAAGTTCCTGTTCCTAGTACGCGACAAAACTGTCTAAATACCTGGATTGGGTAAATAAAATACAACGTATGTACGTGTATATTTGGCGCGAAACTGTACCGCGTTTCCTGATATCCTAGGTAATTTTCCGAGTTTTTCATCACAGTAAATTACTAGGTATTTTATTTTACAAGTTTCATACATGATGTAAATTATATGCATATGGGACTTCATGCTTATGTAATTCCTATTTTGATACGCTTAAAATATAAGATCTTTCGTGGAATGTATGAAAAACTGGAATGTTGAAGCCTAGATCTTTTTAATGGTTTGCTCCTACTTGCCATTATTCCTTATTCCCTGTTTTTCTTCTTTTTTTAACGAAAATGTTTATTCACAAGTGACGTGTGCTTAGACCACTTTGAAATAGTGCGGTTACAGGCCCGCCATCTTTGTCGGGTAATTTATTAGGTATTTCATTTGGATGTTACGTGAAATACTTCCCTTAAGTATTTCACGTGGCGAGATGAATGTTTATGAGGATTTTTTGAAAATCTAAGCCGATGCGAGCTCGATAAACCAAGATAACCCCGAACCTTAGGTCCTGAGAAAAAAAAAACGAAATGGAAAAATATGTAGACTTTATTCGCTTCGGATGGAGAAAAAGTGAACTTCGACTCGTTTACGGGGATTTCTTTTTTTCCGCCTGCTCTTTTTCTTTCTTCAGAAGGTCTTCTCTCTTTTTGATGAAACTCCAAATGTCGTCTGCGAGAAGTTGAGGTTCCTCGAAAGCGGCGAAGTGTCCACCTCGAGGCATGTGATTGAAATGAATGAGCTTCTGGTATCTCGATTTGATAAGAGACTCCGGTTGATATAATAATTCGTGCGGGAAGATTGCACAGCCTGATGGGACTTTGATGGGTAGTCTGGAAAAAAGATGAATTTTTTCAGAGATTTTCAAACGTCTAAATGAAAAATCACACATTCAAACGACGAATCAGCAATAGGTGTTGGGATGAATAATGATAGAAGAAAAATATGTCAATTCTTAACAGCAGCGATGCTATTATAGTATTATGAACACAGACATGATTTCAAAGAACAGTACAATTTCCTCATTATAAAATGTAAATAACAGCTACATTGCACCTATTAAAGTTAAACCTTTTAGGGTAGGGTAGGTATTGCATTAATTAAATAAAATTAATAAAATGGGTGAAGAGATTGTATTAATAATAAAAATATGGAGTGTACGACCGGGTCTATAAGACTACATGTTTGTAGTTAAAGATTAATGAAATTATTCAGGTATTTATAATGCTCGAAACTTTTCCGAAGATATCAGAGAAGTAAACATACATCCATAGAATGTATTAGTAAGATTACATTAAGGCCTGAGAATCGAACCAGCATATTTTTCGGCAGGACATGAATCTTCAATTTAAAATCATTAACCACTTCGGTACGAGCGTCGACTACAGTCGACGGCCGTGATATGAAGGCGCACAGCCGAGCGTCGACTATAGTCAACGGCCGTGATATGAAGGCGCACAGCCGAGCGTCGACTTTAGTCGACGGCCGTGATATGAAGGCGCACAGCCGAGTGTCGACTTTAGTCGACAGCCGTGATATGAACCCGCCGGCCGGTGAGCGCCGTACCGAAGTGGTTAAATGCAGTGACTAAGGCAGAAATATCATCTCAAGTTGAATTAGTTTTATTGGAACGATTATGTCAGAAAAATAAGGATTGATAAATCGAGAACTCTGGACTTAAACGGTCGATACGTAAAGTAGGGATTAAATTCAAATAATTTATTCGATGATATCTAGTACTTAACTACTCTTAACTGCACGGCTGCTTGATTAAAACTGTTGATTTGGCAATATTAATGATATAAATTTCTGAATATTTCAGTCACAATTCCGTAAAGGAATTTAGCGGATGTGTTAATTTTTGGGAAAGGAATAAAATTCGAATTACTTACTTGGTTATTATCGAGCTCATGTGATCTTTTTGGAAATTCTCAGAATACAGCCGCATGCTGGTTACGATGGAATTTGATAACCAGTATACCATGACATTGTCTAAAAGCTCTTCCAACGTGAACTTTTCCAAAAGCCCACCATCATCTCGGAAGCGGTAATCGGGATTGGTCCAAGTGCTGAATTTTTCCAAAATGTAGGCCGCCAAGCCAATCGGCGAGTCTGATAACGCGGTACCTTTAAAATCGCACAATAAACACTTAAAATTACTTGCAATGTTATTTGCAAATTGGATAATCTTTGGAGCATTTACTTAAGCTGATTCGGAAATCAGATTTGAATTTAGCTAGATTCCCAATTTTCTAATTTCTCACAATTTCCCAATACGTGTCTGAGGTTTTGATACGTACATATCTAAATCGGAAGAACTAGTTAATTCATAATTACTGAAAAATTAATGCAATAACAATGTAAGACTTTACAATGATTCAATTATCCGATACTATTAAGTCGTGATTTCGTTTTCATTTTTAAGTATTAAACAACAAGATAAAATGAATCATTTCCTCATTGCAATTTTATGAAATACAATTCTTTGAATTAACAAATTATTGATTTTGTGTTGAAGTGTCAAAATTTCAGCCAATTTCTTGAAGTGATTTTATAAAATTGTCAGATACTAAGTTGATAAGTATCTCTCATTTAATCCAAAATTCTCTTAATATTAATTTTTCTTTTTAAGAGAGCATCGCTAGGTAATATTGCTTTTTTAATACCTATTGATACTTACCAACGGTATCAGGTTTTGACGCCTGAATATGCATATATCCCGACTCCTCGAGGACTCTCGACCAATGATAGCTGATAGGATACATTCTTGAATAGTGATCCTTATCAACCACTAAAGACGGTATAAACGATCCAATTGCAGTCCAAATATACACTGAGGTCGCCATGCTCATGCACATGTTTGAGTGCACTCCTATAACTCTGAATAAAAATGAACATTAATTTTTGTACCGATTAAAATTACACTATCTGAACTTTTTCATCTTCCAAGTTTAACGAGCAAAAAAATTCGATTGAGTGAAGTACTATCTGTATTCCTTGAGAGTTCATTTCTTGGTAAAGAGTCAATTAACATGCAAGCTTCTACGCAATTAATAGGATTTATAAATACTTATTAAATATTTATAAATTGTGTTAATCCAAACTAGTTAAAATCGATTTTACGTGATAGTTAAAAATGCCGAAGGTCCTTCATAATATAATGTTAAATAAGTGTAAGTATGACTGTGCTGATAATACTAGATGTGCTCTTATCACCGGGTATACCTTTCTGGGAACAAAATCGCCAAATCGGCAGTGATAGCAGAACCCCAATCTCCACCTTGCACGTAGAACTTGTCAAATCCGAGTCTTGTCATCAGATTTTTGAAGATGACTGCCATCTGAAGGAAATATTAGAACAGAAACGCCGGTCATTAAAAAGATCAATGTGAGCGATCGCACTTCTACTTTACGCTATTAATTAAAAATTTTAAACAAAAGAAGGAAAAGATATGAATACGCGGTATTAACATTTAACACAACGAAGAAAAATTAATTAAGGTCTCCTGAATTCGTACAGTTAGAGTCCAATATCTGATTTTTCAAGACTCAGAAGCAAGATTAGTTTTATTTATTTCGTTTCAGATTACTAGCCAAGATTATCATTACGGATTATCAGTTACCAATGTGCGGTACACTTTATCTGCCAGTGCTAAGTGCAATTTTTGATTCCTCTTTATTTACAGAACGCGATTGGAAAAAAAAAAAGAAAACTTACCGCTGTGGTAGTCATTCCAGGACGAGCTGCTGGATCCGAAAATCCGTATCCTGGCAAGGAAGGAAGAACAAGTTCAAAGACGAAATCTTGATCTTCTCTTGGAGTTGTCAGCAAAGGAATGATCTTTTGGAATTCCACAATTGATCCTGGCCATCCATGAACCATGAGCAAAGGAAAGACCTTGAGCTTTCGATCTTTCGGAATCACTGGCTTCACATGGTAGAAATGAATGTTCAAGCCTGGAATTAAAACAATTATTATAATTTTGATGATTAAAAAGCTTCAAACCTTTCAACTGAAGGTCCAAGCACAGTTCGCGAGAAATTCATCACCGGAGTTTTACTATACCTATGATTACTTTATCGACAAATTAATCTTAGATTATTATTTTATGCTAATGATCGAAATTCTATGAATTTATTGCATACAGATGTCTGAAGTAGAAGGACTAACTGTTACTAATATAAGAGAGTTAATAATTTACCAGAAATGAAATTCTTACTAATAAGTATAATGCGAGTGGTCTGGCTAATTTAAATGTTATACATTTTCACAGGTCGAAGTTTCAAATAGCTTTTTATGTCAACCCGGAAATCCTATTTAGAAAAATTAAAATGTTATGGAAAGTTGCTAAATGCGTACTAGTCGCTAAAATCGTACCCTATGTATCTTTTTGTTGTTATCTAACGTTTGTGTTAACATATAGTAAATGTCACAAATATTGAACAACAACAAAACCATACACAGCATATAACTTAGATGACTAATATGCATTTGGTAACTTTCTTCTACGTTTTGTAAAAACTCCGTTTTTTTTACCTTTCCGACAGTACTAAAATTAATATTCGGTGTCAAGAATTCTAAAGGAAAATGCAAAAGCTCGAGAGGCAATGTCAAGGAACATTTTTCTCGACAAAACGTTAACCATTAACCGTTGACATTCGTAATTTGACCTTTTCATAAACGAATTACACTGAGATGATAAATAAACAGCGTTTAAATAGTTTTTCCTCTCATCTAGCTACAACGGAGTCTCGACCTTGTATGTTCGTTGTGTACTGTGGATACTTGTTGAGAAGCTCAAGGCGCTGGGACCAATTGTACTTCTCTTGCCAGAACTTCACAATCGTGTCCAAATACTTGCTGGAGATCCCGTAGGTCCATGCCGCTCCTTCCAAAGGAGGCGCCAAACTTCTGTGATTTTTCAGCCTGTTCATCAGATCGTCTATCGTCTGAAAATCCGCAAAAATCCTTGTCATTTATATTCATTATTAAAAGATACTGGAACTTTGTAACATTTCTTGGAAAGTTTCAATCAGCTATGGTACACTAATTTGATGGTGTATTATTTATGCATTAAATATTATATATTTATATGTATGCACCAAACTTCTATGATTTTTCAGCCTGTTCATCAGATCGTCTATCGTCTGAAAATCCGCAAAAATCCTTGTCATTTATATTCATTGTTACATGATATTATATATAACATGATATTATAATATCATAAACTTATTTAAAAATATATAACGAATATATACTAATTGGTTTTTAAAGTGTGAAATTTATAATTTTACTGCAACCTTATGCCCTGAATGTTTGCACGAGGTTTATGAACATTTTCAACAGTGCCACCATGCTCGCCACAAAAATTGCAATATTTATATGATTAAAAAATATTTGTCATTATCAGGATATGGTCATTGCCTTCTTCTGTTATCTCAAATATTATATATAGTGATCGGATATGCACTATTTTGATTTTTATTAGGTGTTACGGATTTTTGGACATACGGTTTGGAAAAAGCTACTCCCTTACCGTCTTGGCGACCTTGAAACGGAAGCGTTGAATTTTCTCGGAAGCATTCTGTGCTTTTCCTGGACCCCAGTAAGTCTCCGGATATGTCGGCACCTCAGGGTCTGGGGACAAGCTGAGGACATAAATCGAAGGTTTGCCTTCAGATTTGCTGGCAAAAGGTCACGTGGATATTACCTTGCCATCGAGTATGACTAACTATTGCCGGTATGACGAGCAAAAAAAGACAGGAAGGTTACCGCGTCGAGAAAAGCGAGTGCAAGAACCGCGCAAGGTTATTTCGAAGGCGCTGCGGCGTTTCCGAAAAAATTCTCCACACGAAATCTCGACGTCCTTCGGAGAATTCTTCGAGAGATTCTCAAAGATTGTCTTTAAAAGAGATGGAAGAAAAATCAGGACTGTATCAATTTACCATATTTTACTGCTGGAAAATAAATGGTGGACATTTTACGTCGAGAGATTCTCAGAGATTGTCCTTAAAAGAGGTGGAAGAAAAATCAGGACTGGATAAATTTATCATATTTTACTGTTAGAAAATAAATGGTGGACATTTTGCGTCGAGAGATTCTCAGAGATTGTCCTTAAAAGAGGTGGAAGAAAAATCAGGACTGGATTAATTTATCATACTTTGCTAATAAAAAATAAATGGTGTACGTTTGGTGGTGGAGGATGCGGCAACATAAAAATTAATTCAATTTGTCGTTACATTATACATGTCATTAATATTCACATATTTTTTGTCGTGAAAAAGTGTAGCTTCTGCACAAAGGGACAATATAATGTGTTGAATAATTTTAATTTTCTATTAAATATTTAAAGTATAAGTGAAGGCATTAAGAATTGATATTTTCTATAGTATGTAAATTTGGTTAAATTTATACATTTTTGACGAATTTCTTTTACGCCAAATGGGGAATCCTTGCCTCCGGTTAAAAAGACAAATGCAAATGAAATGCAAATTCATAATAGATGTACCTTGAGTACTCGTTTCGTAATACGTTGACGTAACAAATGGACGTTCTCATAATGAATTCATTCCTAATTTCCTCTTAAATATGAAAAATTTAGTAGAAACTATTGTTTTACCGAGAAATATATTGTGAATACGATACAAATTTATTATAAGGAAACATCCAAGAATTCTCTGAAATCTTCCAATAAAGTCTTGAAATAATTCTCGATTAATGCATCTACGTTTGAAAAAGGATTTTCGAAAGATATATTAACACCAAGAGTAACATATTAACGTCCAGTTTACATTTTGTCAGATTTACACAGACACAAGAATAAAACTAAAAATATATTTTTCAGTAGGCACATCTCGCATATAACCCAGTTACGAAAATACGGCTGAAACAATTGTAAAGACTTTTCAAACATTATCTCTATCAGAGGATAGAATTATTTCACCGTCAGAGGTCAAAGTTTTCCCAGAACCTCGTACACAATATCGCAAGATAATAAAATGAAGTTTAGTCTACAATATTCCCAACAGATAACACAAAGAAGCACGTATTGTATTTTGGATTTTATATTTTCTTGATTAATTGTTTAACTTTCAATTGGAAATATTTCCTTTACCGTAGAGTACCTTACCGAAGAGTGGAATTATGTCAGGCGAAAAAAAATGAAGGCGTATGCGGAAAAACTCGTAAGGCGTTTTATCACTGAGAGCGATGACCTTGATAGCTAATTCGATATGGTTTGATAATTACTTGAGGAAAGGCACCACGGCAGCGGAAATGAGAAAAATGACGACGGTTTCCTTCCACATGTCTGTATCGGGCGACGTTCACATGTCAACTGGTTGCTCTTCCTTTTACAGAGACCCTGCCTTGAGGTGGATATGAGTCCACGGGTTATCAATCAGCTCATTCATTGGTCCTTTTGAGAACCACTGACTGGTATCCGGAGAGAGGGTAACAACGGGATCTGGATACCTACAATCAGCTGCTGAGGCCATTTTGCGTTTTCACTGAAAGAGCGCTCTTTATTTTACCAAATACATGGAAAAGAAAAAGCAGCTACGAATTAGAAATAGATTCCCAATGATAAAAATGATATCATAAAAATAAAACTAGTGGTACACATAAAAATAAAACTAGGAGTAGTTTTTGTGATAATCAGCAGTAAGAACGGTTCTCAATTTTTATTCTGAGAAGAACTCGTCTTACAATTTTGTAATAATGTTTTGTAATACCGTTCATTTTAATAGTGCATGTATTTAAAATTGAAGTATCGTGGATTTAGGATCCCACAAAGTCATTTTCCTCTGAATAAGTATAGATAAATATATACTTTTTATTTGTCATGATTACAGGGTATAGTACTTGCAATTATCGCAATTGAGGAGCTGACTTTTCCTGATAATTTTTTATACCGTACTACTCACCAGACATACCTCAATGTCTGATAGTAAAAATCGTGTAAATCAGAGACTAACGTATATATTTTAGGACATTATCCAGTTATTCAATGTTAATTTAAAAAATATTTGTAATTGCCGAAATATGGCCATAGTCTCCCATTATTATGCTAAACGGTATATATGGTCATCACATATATACAACATTAATTTTTAAATGCTAGTTATTTTCACAGACAGTACATTTCCAAAATTGAATAATTGAAATTATTTATAAATACAATTTGAATGAGATATATTTGGTTTTTATTTTAATTATATTATATCACAAATTATAATTAATAAATTTATTTAAAAAAGGCGGTAATACAGTTAGGAACATACAAGAATGTAGGGGTCTCCTTTATCGGAAGCAGATGAGGTTGACACAATTGACGCGATTATAAAATTGACTTCTCATTCTGATAATTTCTGTACACTCATGGCGACTCTACAGAATTGTCTATAAATATAATATCGAATCATTTCTTGCCGACATGCAACGTTCGTATCAGTGTAGAATGTAATACTCGAGTACATTGAAGAGAACATTAATGTAGTCGTCTGATAGAGGCCTTGAAAGAGAATCACGTACCATTACAGCAATTGTCCTCGTCACTTCTAAGCCGTAAGAAACCTCGTAGATAATCACTAAATGGATAATATGCTAACAAGAGATTTAACATGTCAACGTCAAAATTTGTTTTACGCGTATTCGTTGTCATCGATCTTTAAAGGTTTCGAAATGTCACCTCAGTTTACTTACATAATTTCTCACTATTTTATCAGGCTAACCCAAAGGATCGAAATTCTGACACCTGAAAACCAAAACCAGAATGACTGTTCATTAATTAAGAAAGTTATATTTGAATAACTCTTATAGTGAAAAAAAACTGTTCTCTCTGAATTATGTTTAACGCTTGCAAAATAACTTGCGATTAGATACCTTTCCTATAATAAATGGTTGTTCGTTATAAGAAGCGTGGGTTTATCAAATCCTTATTTTTCATATTTAGTTAACAAGTGATCTCCTGATGTTTAAGTACACATGTCAAAATGTTCAGTCTTATACGGTTATATGTTAATTTTACGTGAAAAATGAATCTGCAAGTATGAGATAAGCGTAATACGAATTTAAGAAAAATATCAAGAGGTGTCACACCTAGAAAGGGATGATGTTAAATAATAAACTAAATATTTCCTAGGGAGAGCCAAATGTCATCGGCAAGAAGCTCAGGCTCCTCCATAGCTGCAAAGTGACCACCTCGAGGCATTCTTGTTACGCGAATTAAATTTTTAAACCGGTCTTTCAATAATCCTTTCGGCTGGTAGAAAATCTCGTTTGGAAATTGTGCACAAGCCGATGGAACGGTTATCGGTAACCTGGAACATAAAAAGCAATTCTTGCTTCAACGTCCTCGTATCGTTTTACCTCTATACAATCTCAATTGTTAAGTAATGGACGGATCATCTAAATAATATAAATTAACAATGTCGGGCATACTTTTATTTAGACTTTCAATACGTACGAATCGAGTCCAAGTTTATAGCGATCATGGTTAAAGCTTTCAGCGTAGATTCTCATTGACGTTGTTTGGGAATTAGATATCCAGTACATCATTAAATTGTCTATTAATTCGTCAGGTGTGAAGGTTTCAAAAAGACCTCCGTCGTCTTTTAGGAGATTAGATTTGTTGGTGGCTCCGGCGAATTTTTCCAAAATGTACGCCGCGAAACCCACTGGCGAATCACTGAATGCAATTCCTAAAAGAATACATTTTTATATAACGCACCAAATTAACAAATTTTAATTATTACTGTGCTGATAATCCTTAGAACGTTTTTATTAATCCTTTGGTTACGAAGCGCCACTATAGTGACTTCCACCTAGCCGATGTTTTTTATGAATCGTTATTGTAGTGACGATTCGTAAATCACTTCCTTCATTTTCATGCATCCAATGCAACAAATGAACATTGTATTCATACAAGAACTTAAGCTATCCTTATTGCCGATACAGCTCCACAACCGACTGTGTCGTATTTAAAGTTGCTTAACAATTCTCGTGGGCCCTCACATACAACACAACCTCAGATATGTGAATTAATTGAATTTGATACTCTTTTTAAATAATGAACGATATAAAGAGGTTATACCCTCTCCCTACAATGCAGCAAATAACATTCGTCCAAGACATTTTTGATAATACAAGTAGGTGTCGACATTTTCACTAAGGAACTTGTATTACATTCGACCCCCATATAATACATAAATAGTATAAATAAAAAGAAGAATAAAGCGTAAACCATTTTGCATTTTACTCGACGTATAAAATGAGTAAATCGTTAATGTTTTACCGATTATGTCAGGTCTCGTTGCTTGGAGGTGAAAATAGGCACTGTTCTTAAACATTTGCACCCAATGTTTGCTGAGGGGGTATAGTAAATGATAATCTTCATCGGATACTATCAGTGATGGAAATAAACTGTACAAAATGGTTTTAAACAAAGTCCAGGGGGCGGTGCTTACGCACATGTTCGAATGAATTCTTGAGACACTGTAAGAAGAAAGTAGAAGGGGTTTAACTTCATGTTTCTCACGCCCCGAGAACGGATGCACGAGTGCGCGGTAAAAAGTGCATTTCTTTACTGCTCGGGAAATAAGCTCGCCATTTGCTCCGTAATAATTGCTCCCCAGTCTCCGCCTTGGGAATAGAATTTCTGAAATCCGAGCCTTAACATCAGGTTTTTCAAAACCACGGCCATTTGCGTTGCCCCGAGGCCGGGTTTTATCGCACCGCTGGAAAATCCAAATCCTGGTAAAGACGGCGCTATTATTTCAAAAACGACATCGAAGTTCTTCCTAGGGCTGGTCAGTAATGGTATTATTTTGTAAAACTCTAACACGGACCCTGGCCAGCCATGTAGAATCAAAAGCGGTAAAACGCGCTTTCCTTCGGTTTTTTCCGGCTTCACGTGCAGAAAGTGAATATCCAAACCTGGAAAAACACAATACAATTTATATACCTTTAACGATACATTAGTACATATTAAAAAACAAGCTTTCAACTTTTAGTCTCTCAACTTGTTAATTCAGGAAGGATATAAAAATTCCTCTTCGGAGGAGCTCTACAATAAATACTTGTTTCACGATTAGCTAATTAATCAATTTCTTGAATGAGCCGATTGCACTAACCGCGATTAGTATGACATTTCTTAACTATTATTAGTTAAAATTGAATCAGTGCAATTCGTGTGGCGCTGTGACAAAATTAAGCTAACCGAAGATTAAAATCCATTGTTTGGTAACCATCTAAAGTCGGGTGATTAACTAATCGCGCGGTAAGTAATCCTTGATTAAGGATTATAACTCGGACGTTGGTACAACCTTTGTGTTTTGTTGTTCCACTCCTAGTTATTGTTGAACTGCTTTACCTTGAATATTTGTCGTGAACTGTGGGTATTTGTTTATGTGAGCTTCACGTTTTTGGAAGTCATACTTCAACCAGTGATCGATAATAATTGGTATGAAATTACTATGTATTCCGTAAGTCCAGGCTGTGCCTTCCATTGATGGCTGCGGCATCCTTGTATTCCTCAACCTCGTTTTAAGATCCTCGACATCCTAAACAAAGTACAATATAACAATAAATAATTCTTGATAACAGGCTCCGCATTTCATGTTTTATATAAGCCTACGAAATACAGCTCTACGCTAAATTACTCTTCCTTTACTTATTTAATATACTTATAGAAGCGAACATTTCAAATCAGATGTCCTCACTTCCTCTTGTAATTCTTCCTTCCTTAAATTATACACTAACGTTTTATATTTCCCTCATATTTAAGAACTTCATGTGAAACGGTAAAATCACATATCCACAATGCAACTTTTTTTTTACCTTTATGTTAGTAATTAAAAGTTCCATTGTTCAAAAATTGGATACCCGGAAACCCAACATAGGAATTTTGTATGCCAATGGCATAAGATCCTTTCTTTTTTTTCATACGCTCTTGAATACTTTCTATTGTGTCTGAAAGAATATAAAGAAAGTGAACCATTTCATTTGGAATATATTTCCCTACTCTTAGGCCATTTGCATACGTACCGATGAAACCGACACCAACTTTTCTGCCAAAAACAATGTAACTTTCATTTATTTACATTATTTTTGGCAGAAAAGTCGGTGCCGGTACGTGTAAAAACGGCTTTAGACCTTGTGAATTTCACATTTAATGCTGCGTCCAAATATGAGCATTTTTATACGCATGAATGTTCATGCGTGTTCATTTTCCTCGTACTTCACAATTTTTGTACGTGCACGCAAAATTGCTCTCAAGCTGTGCGTGCGACAGAAACGGCGCCAGCACCGACTTTTCTGTCAGAAACAATGCAATTTTAATTTATTTACATTGTTTTTGACATTCTTGACCATTTTTGTGCGTGCACGCAAAATTGTGCTCAAACTGTGCGTGCGACAGAAACGGCGCTGGCACCTACTTTTCTATTAAAAACTATGCAATTTTAATTTATTTACATTGTTTTTGACATTCTTGATAATTTTTCAGCGTGCACGCAAAATTGTGCTCAAGCTGTGTGTGCGACAGAAACGGCGCGTCACCTACTTTTCTATTAAAATCAATGCAATTTTCATTTATTTGCATTATTTCTGGCAGATAAGTTGGTGCCGGTACATGTGAAAACATCCTTAGTGAATTTCGCATTTAATGCTGCGTCAAGATATGAGCATTTTTATGCGCACGAACGTTCACGCGTGTTTATTTTCTTCGTTCTTGATAAGTTTTGCGCGTGCACGCAAAATTGCTCTCAAGCTGTGCGTGGCAATCGTAGTGAGCTAGCTTGAACAAAATTTCATTCAGAAAGGACATTACCATACACGTGCGGCATACATCGTAACGCATACTATTTTTGGAAAAAAATAAATGTTTTTGTTTTATCTGCGCCACGTTTGTCCCGAAATTTATACATACTACATTTCACGAGTTAATCTTTTTAAATGTACACAAAGCTGACCTAGCTTATCATTTCATAACGAAGGAAACTTTTTCACATGTATTCACATAATAATTAGAGTGCCATCTCGTTAGAGCACTCGACTTCGTCATTACTTTCTGCGCATGACCTTTCTGCAGATTTGAAAAGATGTTCTCTTTACTTCCCCATAGAACACTCAGTAATAAACGATGTACTTCCCCTGTCCTCATAAAAATATAAAACGATACCCGCGGATACCCGATTACTAAAGTACGGATAATTAGAATTTTTCATTCCTTCAAATTATACAATGACATTTCACACTTCACTCACATTTATCAACTTTAAGTGAAATGATATACAATCGGATGCGACCAGTCAGTTTTAATTTTGATTTCTCCACAATTTTAAATTTTACACATTTCATATCTCACTCTGATTTCTGCATCAATTCTGTAGAACAATTCGAAAACCTGCCATTTAATGAATCTTCTTTCCTCGTTTAATTAACTCAGTCAAGAGACTAATTAAATTTCAATTGATTTTATTGCTTGCCTTTTTGGGGAATACCACCTTAAATGGTCTAATGCTTTTGTCCACGATTTCCTCATTTCTAGGGCCCCACCACGTCTCAGGAAGCACGGGAATTTGCGGTGCTGGATTGTTTAAAAGATACGAAGCTCCTAGTAGAATTCCAGTGGCAATCGCGAGTTTTATTAAACTCATTATCAAGCGGTCTTTGAAACGAGTTCTGTTTCCTGCGCAGTATTGAACTCAATCTTCTACTGAGCACGCCACGGTCGGATCCGAAGTAACTACAGCATACATATCCCTACACACTTTCATTTCTGCTCGTGCGTATTATTGTGTCTGGCGTACCTATATATATACACTCACGTGTATCATATATGTACGTGTACCATACGTGATTATACTCACAATCGCACAACAAGTTTTTCACCACATTGATCGGAAATGCTGTACAGATTCACACTTAGGTTCGGAAGGTAAAACGTCGTGCGATTCCGAACTACTCTTAAAAAAAAAAAAAAAACAGAGATTAAATTCGACTCGTTTTCTGAGTTAAATATGGCGAGCTCAAATTCCAAACTACCCTGAAAAAAAAAACAGAGATTAAATTCGACTCATTTTCTGAGTTAAATATGGCGAGCTCAATAAAAGAGTTGGTTCAATTTAAATTTGGAGTAGTCAACCCATCCGTACAATTGGTTCAACTTCAAAATGTAATTTTCCTCCAAATCTAAGTTCAACCAACTTGCTTATTGAGCTCATATTTACATTAGGAAATTAGGAGTTCAATTTATTCTATTTTGTTTTCAAAGTAGCAACGATTTAAGTTTTTCAAGGGCCGCAGGCGTAATGTAATTTTGAGTCATTCTTTTCTGATTACTCTCTTTGCGATCTCTACCTATCAAATACATATGTCAATTATATAACTTAACATATAACGAAAGTTATTCAAAAGATACATTGATATAATGTAATGTCGGATTGTTATCGTTCCTTGATGTTGTTACAAATCTGTCACTATTGTAAGTATATATTAGTAACATAAGGCATAATATTGTACCGATATGTTATGAATATGTTATATTATTCGTTTTATAATAGTAATATATAACTGCAAAGATATAGTAATATGAATTTTAAGTACATGTAATATGTATGTTAAGCCTCCTGTTCCAGATGTTTAATTTAAAACGAGCCATTAGAAATCTTTATTTTACATTATCTTTAATAACCTTTCCAAATTGTCAGTTTAACTAGAAACAAGAGAAAGATATAAAAATTAGATACATGTAAACTTCGATATCTTTGTCCTTTTTTGTATCAATCATCTCTGTACAGAGATGAGTTGGGAGATTGCTCACGTGCAGGGTCGCGCGATCGCACCGTGTGCTGCCCTCTGATTTCGTACGATAGCTTTCACCGTTTTTTGCCCCCAAGGGCGGCGCAACGAATTTCTGGTAGGAGCTCGCGCAATCGCGATGGCTGTGCCATCTACCAGTTGCCGTTGACGGCTCACGTATTCGTGATGGTAATACCATGCG